AAGGTGCCACAAGTACTCCTGTTCTTTTTGCGGATATAGACTAACACGGCTGCTACTCTGAAACCTAACAAAGCAATGCATTTTACTGAACTACTGAAAGGGGAACATGATATGGTACTTTCCCATAAATAGGGTGACCAGAGATCAAGTGTGAAAAATTGGGATAGGGAAGGGGGTGGGAGGGGTAATAGGTGCCTATAAAAGACAAAGCCCCAAATATTGGGACTGTCCCTATAAAATCGGGACATCTGGTCACCCTACCCATAAATCATTTACGCGTGGCAAAAGGACCTCACCTTATCTGACATATTGGTTGGATTGCCTGCTGTAGTCGCATCCAGGTAAATTGTTAAGGGGAGCCTACTTACAGTCTTTGGCCTTGGCTACACTTGCGAGTTGCAGCGCTATAAAGCCTCCCCCAGCGCTGTAACTCACTCCCTGTCCACACTCGCAAGGAATTTGCAGCGCTGTATCTCCTTGGTTGCAGCGCTGCATGTACTCCACCTCTCCGAGAGGAATAGCGAGTGCAGCGCTGCCACTGCAGTGCTGCGGCGCCAGTGTGGCCACCCAATGCGCTGTGAGTGGCCTCCAGAATTATTCGACAGTATCCCACAATGCCTGTTCTAGCCACTCTGGTCATCAGTTCAAACTCTACTGCCCTGGCCTCAGGTAACCAACCATGTGACCGACTCTTTACATTCCCCAGGAATTTTAAAAATCCCCTTCCTGTTTGCTCAGCCCAGCGTGGTGTGGAGTGCTATCAGCAAATCTTTCCAGGTGACCATGCCTCCACGCGCCAAGCGAGCCCCAGCATGGAGCAATGGCGAGTTGCTGGACCTCATCAGTGTTTGGGGGGAGGAAGCTGTCCAGTCCCAGCTGCGCTCCAGCCGTAGGAATTACGATATCTTCGGGAAGGTATCAAAGGACATGATGGAAAGGGGCCATGACCGGGACGCCCTGCAGTGCAGGATTAAAGTGAAGGAGCTGCGGAGTGCCTACTGCAAAGCCCGCGACGCAAACGGCCGCTTGGGTGCTCCCCCCGCGACCTGCAGATTCTACAAGGAGCTGGATGCGATACTTGGGGTTAACCCCACCTCCATTCCGAGCACCACCATGGACACTTCAGAGCCGGTGTGGGTGGGGGGAGGAGGAGGAGTAGGAGGAGGAAAACGGGAGTGATAGTGGTGGGCCGGATGGAGACACCCCGGAGTCCCTGGAGCCATGCAGCCAGGAGCTCTTCTCGAGCCAGGA